GCGCTTTGAGTCGAGACATAAGTCAAACCACCGAGACCCATTCGATTATCATCTGAGCAGAAAAACACAACGAGCATGTCTGCTTCTCATCCATTTTTAATTGTGAAAGTGAGTGGGTCTAACATTAGAGGTTCATTTAACTGACTTCCTGGGACACTGCCAAGTTGTGAACTCAGCAAAAACAAGGAATTTTCCACTGGTTTAGACCTTTGCTAATTACGCTTATTGTTCTGCTTGCTTCAGTCAGTGCATATCTCCATCATGATGGAGATGCAATGAAAGTCGGTAGTTTTAATATTAGACAATATAGTCCTTTCTACTTTGATTCGACAAGATGGCATTTCTCCATATTATTAGCCATTTACCGCTCAATTCATATTTATTCATTTATTTCTCCAAAAGATACAATTCCTCCAGAAATACCCATGTCTTCCTCCGCATCTCTTTCCAGTTGGAAAATCTCCAAGAGGTGAATAGGATGAGCTACGATCAAATATCAAGGAGATCATTTCAACAAATAGAAGCAGCGTCCCCTTTTGATGTGGAGAAGCAGAGGCTCTATTCTGAGTTCCAAACCCGATTTCTAAGGCTGAAGACTCCAAAGTTCAATACAGAAGAGCTCTAATCTATAGTCTGACAAATCAGGATTGACTATCCACAAGACATGTATGGATGTTTTAAATCTCAGTCTCAAAACTGCAAAAAGTTTCTATTAAGTACCTGGCTGAACTGCATGTTTTTTCTAGCTGTGTAGAATAATGCAGCACTGTCCCTCCTCACGTATTGCTGTATACTGATGGTCAGCTGGATGAAAGGAGGCTACAACACTTGAATGGCTGTTTGAGAAAATTTCTATTTTTGAAAAACAAGGATGGTCAAGAACCTGAAGGAGAATTATCCATCACTTTTATTAACTTAATGTTTAAAAGCTACTGGTTGTATGTAAAGCAGCCATCTGCTGGCTGAATAAAAAAGACTATTTAGTCAGCTAATGTCACCCCTGCATATTTGTGTTAGTCTCTAAAGAGCAAAATGCCAAAAGGTTATAATATTCAGAAATGATAAGTACTTGTAAACTGCTGGCCTATATTTTTTTTATTGAAGTTTGTGCAACTAAATTTAAATAATACATAAACAGAATACATAACCTGAAGTTCATTATGCAACCTTATTTTTGCAGCATTTTTGGTTTTCTTTTTTAAAATAAAAGCATTAGATTTTGTTTTACTCAAGGTTATCTCATCTCCTCCTAGTCATGCGTTACTTTAGGTAAAAGCCACTGCAAAATATACATAAATGCAATATTCCAAGAGCAAACTTGAATCTCTGTGTATCAGCTAATTTGCACAACAATGAGTGAAAAGCTGGATATCTGTAAAGCAGTCTTAAGACAGGGTCTCCCACCTCCCCTCACTGGTCACTGCTGAACGTAGCATTTCCCTAAGTGGGAGGACTGCAACATGAAATGCTGACCCCTAGTCACAGAGAGCGATCAAACAGACCGAGTACGGCGCGGTGAGACAAATGGGAAAAATACAAGAGGGAAAAAAATAAAAAATCAATAATCCAAGAATGGCCACCTTGCACTCGCTGTTCTGGATGAGTGCTGCAAAATAGATTGTCTGAGGCAGGAGGAGCTTAGTTCAAGGGTCGGAAGAGATGGACGGATGAAGTTTATATGGGTGATCGTCTTCCAACCACCTGCCTGCAGGCGCGCCCTGAGGAAAACCGTGAAAAACAACTGCAGTATGGCGAAATGACAGCCTGGACAAACTGAGCTGAAATTGATGATAACGTCCTTGCCAAGATAAACAGCAGTCATGTCTAGTCATCGTGTGGAGGGAATGTCCCAGCTGAGACACAGAGCTGTAATATCAACAATTATTTCTAAACTAAATCAGAAAAAAACAACACTTATCACAGAGAGCATCAAGTGCAAGTGTCCGATGAATCTGATCCTGGAATGACTCAACATAAACAAAGTAAACGCAGGAAGCAGCAACTTAATGACTTGAACATGACACACCGATCAACTGGAGTCTGACCTTTGTCGTGTTTACGCACAGCTGCAGTAGTTCCAAAAAGTTTTACGTGCAGCGTATGTTCTTGGACAGATGAGAAACTATTTTAAAAAACAGGGGGAAAAAAAACAACAAAAAAAAACACAGTTGGGTAACTGAGTTGGCAGCGTAGAAATGTGCTCTGTACTGAGCTGACACATCAAAAAATATTTAAATTCCCAACTGGGAAGTACTTCCAGGACATCAGAGGTCATTTTCGACTGAAGCCAGCTCTCTATATCCGTAACCTGAATACTTTTACCAGATGGAAAACACAATCTGCTCAAACTCCCCCCAAAGGGATTTGGCAAGACAGTGAGTTCAGATTACAAAAAAAAAAAGGAGAGAAAAAAGCTTACAATGGCATCTCGGGTATCTTTAGGACAAGTCAATGGTCTGTCTGCTGGAAGCAGAAGACAAACATGTTTATACTGTGGTGTGCGAGTTAAGAGAATTATGTGCATAATATTTAAGCTCCACTGTACTCTGTTTTTTCCCCTCCTCCACTTTTTTTAGAGGCTGTGTGAACAGACGGTGGGGAAAAAAGGACTATTTGTCCAGAAGGGGGGGAGAGAAGCTGAAAGGGAGATGAAGTTTTAATATAAAAGTCCAGAAATCAACAGATTTTTAAACAGGTCAAAAACCACAAACTGTAAAATCGAGAAGATCTTGACATTTCTCAGAGATAAGGCAGCAACTTTTCAACCGGCACTGGAAACGCAAACTTTTCATGCCTCTGCAAATGAAATCTAAACTCTTTTCAGGAAAAACAAAATGTGTTTCCATCCTGCCAGATGGTTTCATCTGACTGTTTCAAATGTTTCAAACTGCAGAAACTGTGCCATTCACAAAAACAATTGCACACAATGTTCTCAAGATCCTGCTGAAAACTACATCCACTGCTGTCATCTCCACGAAAAGCGTTTTTCCTGCCCGATCTGTGCGAGCGGCGTGTTTCTACCTCCACGCAAACGAGAAAAAGAAAACCCTTGAGGGGGGCAAGAAATCTCACCAGCTTTACAGGGATCCTTGTAGTCGATCGCCTCTGATGTGGCACTGGGCTCCACATAGTAGCTCGGATCAATCGCCTCCAGATCGATCGCCAATATCACGCCGAGGCATGATAGAAGGAGCAAACACCTCGCCGAGAGATCCATGTTTGTGGTGGGGGAGACGGCGAAAGGCGAGGGATAAAGGTAGAGGAGGAGAGAGGGACAGAGGGACAGACAGAGAGAGAAGAGTGAGTGAGAAACAGACACAGTGAGAGAGAAAAATGGGAGGTTTTTTTTCTTTTTTTTTTTCCTTCTTCTTTTTTTTCAGGGGGGGGGGGGGGGAACGAGATCCCGCCGGGGGCGGGTTTTAAATCCAACCCTCTCTCCGGTGTCTTGTTGGCTCTGGGGGCCGTGATTTCTCTCCTCCAGCCGGAGCTGCGTTACCGCCTGAGAAACTTTGATGATATGGCAGCAGCTCCACCAGGGCAATGAAAAAAAAAAAAAAAAAAAAGCTCCTTCAGTCGCTGATGCCCGGCTGCGTTTTTATTGCTACTTTCTTGGTCCCACTGGGAGCCCCGACGAGCGCGTAACGGTGGTTCACTGCGTTTTAGTGACCAGCAGCAGCTGCCTCGGAAAACCTTTAATTTAGGTTGGTAGGAACGAACTGGAGTAAATTATATGTAGCTAATGGATGATTTACGGGCTCTTGCTCCGGTGGCATTTGGTTTCTAAAAAGTGTCAAATATCCCAGAGCTGCACTTTGAATTAAAGTTTTGGTCGCGCTCAGCTCCGTGCGCCTTTTTTACTTCCGCACACGACGCTCGCGCACTCGGCTAGTCCTCGCACGTGCGCCAGCGGTCCCTCACGCACGCGCTCAGACTGCTTGACCTTTCCAGCATTTTGCGAGAAGAATGCAATTAGCGCGCCACCTGTCGGCGTTTAATTAAAACAAATACACGACGAATTAAGACAAAGAAACAAAATGAGGTTAAAGCTGCGCAACTTTGATGCCAACTACGATTATTTTTGGCGTTTCTTTTATGACACAGCAAATACTACTACACAGTTTACACTGTTTACTTATTTAACTCACTGAGAAGTTGTAAAAACCCTGACAAGCTTTATTCTGTGCTAATGATGCTCACATGTTTTCCACCTTCATGCATGTTTCAGTTTTTTTTCCACTTCCGGAAAGGTTAATTGGTTGATTTAAATTACTGACCGGTTAATTGGTCTCCCCTGTGTCTTTGTAATGGGCTAGCAACCTGTCCATGGTTCACCCCCAAAGGATAGATGGGGCATACAACGAATGTTTCTGCTTCTTTCTATGAATAGCTAATTGTAATGCTTTACTTACTTACTGCTACTTATCAGACAAATTCCCTGTAAAATACATTGAAGCTTGTGGTTGTAACGTGGGAAAAGGCAACACACTGCATCTAAACGGAAACACATAAACATGACTTCTGAGAGGTTCATATATCAACATGTTGGATGCCTCAGAAACCACTATCAGTTACTGGAGCTGGTAGCAAAAGTAAACAACGTTTTTCTTAATGTCTGGCACCAGTTTCCTGCACATTTTAGCACTTCTCAGGCTTACATAAGAAGGATGAAACACATCGTGTCTTTATCTTATCTGATTGCTGTTGCTGGGTGGAATTGAAGACAGGAAGTCTGCTGCAATGAGGGCGCTGTATTTATACAGTCTCTGTAAACACAAAATCGTATCCATCCCTCAAAATACAACACCAGAGTCTCTTTACTTGTTAAACACACAGGAAAAAGTGTTTAGATTGGTCAAGCAAAGCAAATGTCCTCAGAGGGAAGAAAGCAGTTCAGTGCAAACAAGAAGGCCAAATAAAATGTAAGCGATGAAACGGTACAAACCAAATACACTTAAATGGTGGTTTAGATGGAACAAAGTTTTATGTGAGTTTTCCATGGGAACGTGTTCAACAACTTTTATTTACAATTATGAACAAATAATGACATTTGAAATTAGATTAGCACAAATGTGAAGACATATCAGAGAAACCACGTAACAGTCAAAAAATGAATTCTGACATGATGTACAGAGGCTTGCCTTAATATTCATACCCTATTAACCATTCTGTTGTCATATTATGACGGCACAGTTGAACGCATTTTACTGTGATTTCATGAGAATTAATGACAAAAACAGCAAAGTGTAAGAAAAATTATACTGTCATAATTTCTTAAATTGGGAAAATCACACGTATAGACTATTTTAAAGTAGGTGACCTCTGAAGGAAACTGGGTAGACCAAATTTTATTCAGCGGTAATTGTGTAAAGGAGACTGAATTGAAATTTATGTCACAATTAGACATTTATATTTGTAGTTGAAAGGGTATAAATATTTTTTGCAAGGCTCCCCAGCCAGCAGAAAGAACATTATGCTTTAAGAAATGGTGCTGAAACACATCACACTGAAATTGAACTGAAACTTAACTTTTTTCTTCAACAAAAATCCCAAACAATTTTCTGTGACATTCAAATCATCTACAACAAGCTGTGAGAGAACAATAATCCAGGGTTCGGCAAAATGAGAAGTGCATAAAAAACGTCAAAGTAACATTTTAGTTTATTTTTATTTGACAATTGCCTTTGTCAGAGCTAATTTACCACAACGCAGGTAGTTTTGTGGCTTACACTCACAATATAATTTTCTCCAGAGGATAACATGTGATCAAGTCATATATCTTGCTGTCAAAATGCCCTACTTAAAAGTACAATGAGGAAATCTTGCGCTGCGGCTCTACAAACACAGCAATCACGACTTCCAAGCTTCTCCTCCCACCTCAACAGGACACCGCTCTGGAGGACACAAGGCAGCTGTGTTTTCTGCACGATGTGGGGTTTTGTATCCATCACTGCAGAGAACAGTCGCCGATGCAGCATCACCTTACGGTGAGCAGAGAGGTTCATTGCTGTGAGAAGGGCACAGTGAAACCCAATGACAAAACTATTCTGTTCAATCTGCAGGAGCAATCAGTTCACTTCCCTATTTTGCCTTTAAGTGCTTGATGTAATTATGCGAGCCGTCAGATTCTCGCCAATTGTTGGTTAAAAATATTGGTTTCACAATAAAAGAAAAAGACATGAAATAAAAATGTCATATCGGCCAATTCGTTATATTTGAAAAGAATCATTTCTACTGCTGTTGAAATAACAGAATCTTTATAAAACTAACATTTATTGTGTTTCCAACACAAACTGAAGCAAATCTACACTAAAAATCACTAAATTCAGCAGCAGTTTTTCAGTACTTTTTGTGCACAATATGTTGTTGCTCTTTAAGGAGTAAACAGTTTTCACTCTGAGCAAGAGTGATGAGTGCCACTCCGTTAGCGATTTTGTGACTGGAAATAGTTCAAACATCCTGATTTCTGTCTGTTGGAAGCAAGGAGACATTTTTCCGCCAGTTCACCAGGAGCACAGGAAAAAGTGAGCAAAGACGGCTGCGTGTCAGTTTAATGCAATGTGTTTCAACAACCCAAGTTAAGATTTTATATGTAGAAGTTTTGTCTTGCCCTGCGTTCAGTCACCTGTTTCCAAGAGCAAGTTGTAATTCACCTCGATACATTTTTTTGCATTTTAAGGCAGACCTATGTTCCTAAAATAGTTTGTTTGTGCTGATGCACAGGGCAAGATAAAGCCAAGCTGTGTTCAGAGGAACTAAAAAGCTTCACCGGGCTCCAGTGACGCACCTGGGGCTCAGCTGACGTCATAGTTTCACCTGCGTGGCTGAAAGCTGCTGCGCTACTCGGCCGAGCTCCACGGAGGGTCACCGTTATAGAAGCCGGAGCTTTCTGCCCTCCTAACAACACACAGATAAAAACCCTGTAACAATAACAACCTAGACATGCTAGTACTCCATAGAGAACATAACTGTGCTTTGTACCCAATGGTTAGACAGGAAAATCAAACTAAAAGGAAACGATGGACAGATGAGTTTGATTTCAGTCTTTATTACAACAGGCACAGGAACTGAATAATGCCATGTGTTAATGTTATTTAACTCAGATGATTGAAAGGAACAATTCGCAGCATGTTACGAGATAATGAGGCAAACAAAAAAAAAACATGCAATGATAATTATAACAAATGATTGACAATGGCAGCAGGCTGGATTGAAAGTTTTAATAAATTTAGCAAACATATCCAACATAATTTTATGTTCAATTCTTGAGAATCAAATAATTAGGCAACTTTTCCATAAACATGAGTCCAAATGTTCTACTGATGCAGAGTCAGCTGAACGTGTGACTCTGCAAACTTTCCACCGGTCGGCTCCTTCCGGGTAAGCCCGTCTTCACGCTCATCCACAGAGCTGTCCTCTGCAATGCCGTAATCCTCTCTGGTCTAAAAATGTCCTGAACTACTGTTTCCAAAACAAAGAGCGAATGAACCCCGGGGCGTTCAACGTGGCCGTCGCGTTTTGGCAGTTCGACACATACCAGCGGTCTGATTGGTGATGTGCGCCAAGCCGGGCAAGCTGCTGGCCAGTTTGGCCAGTCCACCGTTGGTGAGCAGCTGATGGATGGCGGTGGTTTTCGAGATGCTTCCTGTTGTGACCACGGGTACTGCCCGGAGCAGAGTGCTGCCGGCGGTACTGACTGAGCTCAGGATCGCCTCCTGGGAAACAAAAAAAGCAACAAAAAACATTTGAGAAATTTTTCTTATTTACTCTCCTCAATCCAGCTTCATAGAATCAATTTAGTTTTGAAAATATTATTAGGAGACTGAAAGACAAAAGAAATCTGTGAGATAGGACTTGTCTTATCAGACATTTTGTAAGAGATTAGCTTGATGGATAGGCAGGCTTCCAGATTCAAAGACTTGTCACCAAAGATGAATTTTAGTTTTTTATGTTTTGGGATCCTTATTACAGTCATGTTAATGAAGTGTAAGCAAACTTCTGACAGCAACTGCAGTGGTTTGATTCCAATATACCCTCGTTTGTCATCGTCATTATAATTTGTACAAAGCATAAAGTTTCTTTCCTCGTGTACCTGAGTGCTGCCTGTGCTTGTTGCTGTGGAGGGAAGGTTAGGAGCTTTGGTAACGATCTCCTGCAGACTGAAACTTAGGCCTTGCAGAAGACTGCTGGCGGAAGCTGGCGCTGCAGAGGAAATAAAAGCACAAACAGCAAATACGCAAGTTAAATTTGAAAAGCAGATATTAGGACTAAACTAATACTTTTAGAAACCAAAAGGCAAAACACATGGACACACACACAGGCACAAACAAGGACAATTACATCCAAAACAGCAGCAATGGCGCAAGAGGTGATCAATGATGATGTTTGCTAAAGTATGTTGCCCTCACACACTGTCCTCATCCAGTGTTCAGAACTGCAGTCTGACTCAGGCCAACAGATTACGGTGTGTGTGTTGGAGCTGCCGTGCCGCGTTTTCTTTACGCAGCTGCGTGCAACTGAGCGTGCGAAGCGGGACAAGACAGAGATACCTTGGGCGGTAGCTGGAGCTTGCACCTGGGCTGGTGTGGAGGACACTGACACCATGCAAGGCTGCACGCTGCTGAATGAGCCTGAGCCTGGGGACATGGCACCAGACACCTCTGAGAGACTACCAGACCTGCAGTGACACACACACCACCAGTCTGCTCAGGAGCTACACCAGCAAAGGCTGCTTGGCCGTCATTCAGCTCTCAAAATTCTGAGTACCACCTCTCATCGATCCCCTCTGCACCAGACACATTGTCGTCCAACAGGGGGAGGCGTGGACATGGGTGTAGGTACGCTAAGGGTTTTAGGAGCTCTACGTTGTGCCTGTGAGAGTGGGCAAGCTTACCGCTGGCCTGTGAGGAGTCCAGAAAGCTCCTTGGCACCCGGCACAGTCTGTCCCACTGCCACAGTTAGAGGCTTGCCAGAGACACCCACTGGGAGAAGAGAAACAGAGCCCAAGATCAGGACAGGCAGCTACAGATGGATTTAGGAAGACAGTAGATTGACTTTCTGTGAATTACATAACATCATGTTTATACTCTGCTTCTATAATATTGCAGTACCAAAGAACAACAACAAAAGAGCTTTGGATGTTGTCATTTTGTCTTGAAATCTGAATATTAGTCAGTTGCTGGGATTTCTGGTGATTTTATCATTGAATCCCCAAAGAACTTCTGAGCCAAGATAAAAAAAACAAAAAACATTTATAGTTCTGAAAGAATAATCCAAACTATAGATGTCAGGAGAAGTATCAGCAAATTAAAGATAAAGTCTTGTTTTTTTTTTTATAGAAAAATAAGTGCACAAGCTATGTAATTTTATTTCAGGGCTTAAAGTGTGAAATAAAATAAAATAAATAAATAACTAAAAATGCAAATTACACATTTATGAATCAAAGTTGATGATTTCAAACAAAGAGATTCCCAAGTGAAGCTGAACACACAAAACTTTGCACTTTTCTACAACAGGAAAGCACAAACCAAAACACTCTATGTGGAAATATAGAAGTCATCCAGATTCTCTACCTTCAGCAGGGCTGATGGCGCCTCCTGCTGACTCACTTTGGGAAACAATGGTAACTTTAATCTTTGCTCTCTTGGAGGCCTTGCTGGGCGTGGGACTTGGCGTCTGCCTCCTCTTGCCGTGAGGACGTAGCTCGTCTCTGTCCAGGCCTTCCAGCTGATCACTGGTCACTGGAACTGCAGAGGCAAAGAAGCATCAATAAACAATGACAGAAGCACTGAGGCAAACCGAGTTAAGGGTTTAATTCCTTCGCCGACAAATATGATAATTTTTACCTCTCTTTTGATAATACATTTCTATATATTTTTGTAGTTCTTTATTTGAATTTTCATGAAGAAATAAATGGGAGAGAAAAGACCAGAAGACAGAAAAGAGGAGGAGAGACAGACAGATACTTACCAAAAATACAAGGAGGGGTGCCAGGAGGAAGATTTTTCCTCACAAGCATGTTTTGTTTCATAAAAGCAGCAAACTGAGCTGGAACGAATCGGAAAAAAGCCAGAAAGGAAAGTTGCAGAAGGAGAGGAGACAAGAGGATGAGAGGAAAGCATTTCAGTCACGTTCCCTCTCACCCCGTTGGATGTCGTGACACAATAAAACACACTGCAATCGTTTTCACATCTCGCATACCACGGCGTCTGCTTGTGCAAAGTTCAGCCAAAGTTGAGGCGATTAGCTTCCAAAAATATTTTGACAAAGGGAGGGTTGTTTATGCTCAGGTACCAGGAATGTGAAAGCTCACAGAGCGTTTTAATAGATCCAGAGTTGGGAGATCAACTAACCTTGAGCCTGCTTGTGAGTGAGCACGGTGCCGGAGCGCTGCATGTGCGTCTTGAGGAGCTGCGTGGCTGTGATCAGGCTGGACTTTTGTGCTGGAGACAGACCAGAAGTCTTCGGTTTGGGGCTGGAAGTGGGGCTGCTGCAGACGCTGGACAAATCCTGAGACAACCGAAGAGAAACGCCACAGCTCTGAATCAACTGAAATATCCAGGATTTCTTTTATGTAGAAGAAAACTGGAGCTAATCATCAATTTTTACACTCTTCTCTCGCAGGAGGACAGAGTCACCAACAACAATGCTCCCAAGTTTAACTGTAAATTATTTATCTTGGCTTCTGTGTCTTGTGAACCTGCTGCATTCTATTGTTTGAAATAAAATAAAATAAAATTTAACTTCTTACTTTAATATACAAAATAGATGTTCACTTCACCTGAATAAATCTACACAGAATAAATTTTGACTTTGAAAAGAAAAGAAAAAAAATATTTTAAGAAAAAAGTATTACTCGTTAATGTTTTGGCATCAGGAAACATTTATGTTTAATCAAAGCCTATTCACACCACACCTCTAAACATAACTAGCACAGTTCAGTACAACTGAAAAAAGTGAGGACCAGGAAAATGTCCTCACATTCCACAAATTAGCTGTTTGTGGTGAAAATGGTAATAATTGTCATGTGTATGTAATTTATACAAAAACACACACCAAAACACTAAATCCCATGCAAGGAAATTTGTAAACTATAATTCAATTACAAATGTGCACAAAACTTTGGCGCTATTCCGCTAATGTCAAAACCCCCACAATCTGCAGATGCTTTGTTTCCATTAAATAAGAGACACAAAACATATTTTTTATGCGACAAGACATTAAAAAAAGCTGCACCATCATCCTCCTACCACTTGTGGTTGTTGATCACATGACTTGTGTGATTTGAAACTTTTTCCATTGCAGTTTTGCGAAATACACTCATTATGAGATGACCAAAAAATAAAAAATGATAATAATAATCACCTCGTAGTGCGAAAACTTTTTTTCCCCAAAAAACTTAAGTTGTTTATTTTTCCCAACAATTGTTCAAAAATGTTTCCTTTAAACAAATTTATTTCTGTAATTCCAGTTTGTGCAATTTTCTGGTCAATGGAAGAACAGCTACTGTATAAATACAGTTTTGTAACAAACCTCTGAACCTGAGGGTGAAATGGGAACTCTAAGAGCCGGAGACGAAGGTCGACCTCTCTCCACGTCAAAGGGAAGCTCCCGTCGAGGCCGCTTCTTCTTCTCCGTGTCCAGGTCTCGCATCTCTCCGGAGACGTGACTGTGGCCCTCTGCCCGGGTCAAGACCCCTGACAGAAAGTCAGCTATCTCATCCTGAATGCAGCGGTCCACCATCGTCTGCGTCAAACCTTCCGACTTCATCTTTGCCGAGTTGATTCTGTGAGAAATTCATAGATTTTTTTTTCAAAAACAGAAAGTCATGTACAAGGTACAGCCACTTTAACTCCTTACAGTCTCTTTACCTTACATAAAATACAGATTTTTTTTTTTTGTAAGAGAATTTACGTTTATTTAGTGAAGAACATCTTGATAACTTGCATAAATTAACCTGCAATGAGAGGCTTACTTAATCTCTTTTCAGACATCAGCTGAGTCTTCTCAGCAGGAGAAAAATAAATCATTATTCTGTCGCCTCTTGTTCTCTTTGGCTTTTCATCCACAGACCAAACTGAGCCAGCTTTGTGCTGCTTACACATAAAAATGTTGGCGTCGTAGAGCAACTGAGTCACTGCAACATCAGGAGAAGCCCGTTCCAATAATACAACGAGACAGTGAACAAACCAGCACATCAACGCCCCCAATGAAGCAGTAGAGAAAATCAATGACTGGATCCGCTGCGCTTCAGCTGAGCAAAAATTAGAAGGAAAAACTACAAGCGAGCATCTCGGCTTCACGGACACAGAGGTTCAAACGGAGCTTTGCTTCATCTTTACAGCGCTACCTGTCCTGATCCCAGATCAGCTATCTGGGATTATAAAGCGTTCACTCGGACTCATAAAAATGTTTCAATTCAAAATGAATTGGGCCCAGTTTAAAATCCTATAGAAGTGAAATGACCTCTTCTAATCCCCATTTTTTCAATATGCGTTTATCTGTTAGCAGCTGAGAAATCAATACAATCAGTGAGTTAGGCAAAATCTGATGAGTTGTGATGAATAAACTGCAGATAAAAAGGTGATCAGCTAAATGTAAATCAATGCTAAAGCCCCTCTACTCACAAAATAAAGGTCAGAGCAAAATATGTCTCTTAAAAAATTTAATGTGAAACTCTGGGAACTCTAAACTTTCATTTTCCAGACTACTCAAGATTGCATAGATTATTAAATATCATGTTGTTTATTTTAATAAAAGACCATGTACTTTCAATAATAAATAAAATGTAGAACTACAAAAAATATTGCAATAACATCAGTATGTGCAATATTAATATCGCAGCGGAGTGGGCCAACATATTCCAGGTGTGTATGTTGATGCAATATGCAGTTTCACAGCAGTAGACGCCTACATTTAACAAAAATAGCAAAGTCTTTTTTGCCATTAGACAGTAAAATATAAAAATCTCTTGATGCTGGTTTATCTTCACATCAACTGCTGCATGTTTTTTTCAAAGAGTCATGGGCTGATATTAATGTCTCCCCGCACAGTGATTCTCTAAGCTCAACATAACAGAGAGGGTTTTAAGTTAACTAACGAAGAGACGGTGACCAACCTGAGGTTGTCGTCTGCTCCTCCGACCACCACCAAGCTGTTGTCTGCCCTCAGCTTCTCTCTGAACTCCTCCATGCCATCTGTGGTGCACTGCAGCGCATTCTGCCCAACCACAAACAATACGGGGGTCTTCATGTCCAGCAGCGGGTCGTCCACGTCCTGCAAACCGGCAGCACACCAGCAGCTCGTCACAGACCTGAATTCACGCTGAAGTTCATACTTTTTAACGGCGAGTAGGGGAGTTGAGGTCTCACCCCTCTGGGTCCGTTGACTGTTAGGAGCGGAAAGCCAAGACACACGACAGCCGTCAGATACTCCATGAGGGATACCTGGCAGAAAATAGCTTCAAGTTTTTATTTAGAAAAGAAAAAAAAAGAAAAAGAAAATCACAAGTTTCCGTGTCATGATGCATGACTGTGATACAATTATCCAACTCTTACATGACAAGCGATAAGCGCACCAGCATTCCAGCCGACCAGGATGATGGGCTTGTGTGGGAAGTGACTGTGAACCTGTCAAAGTTTACAAAATAATATTAAAAACATATTCCTGGCTTTAGAGCCATAGATTTAATCAATAAAAACAAGGATTTTGTTAGGCTAGTCATTACATTTACAAACAAAAGCAACTTCTTAATATGATATTTTATGGGTACAATTATTTTTAATGTACATCTTAAAAACACCCACAGGAAGCAACCACACAGTGATAAACACATATATGAAGACACACCTCCATGACTTTGGCTCTGACCGTTCCCAGCATGTGCTCCAAACACTGTGTGATTCCAATATTGGCCCCACTGTTCACATGAGTGTGCACCGGGATGACCTGGAGTAAAAACAGCACCCATTAAAACTTTTACCTGCAAGGAAAATAAAATGACTTCCATTCCAAATGGAAAACTAGAACAGAGAGAGATTTTCAACCTTTCCCAGGCAGGAGAGCTGCGACTGCCAAAACCTCATTCTCCGTGAGGTGGAGAGAGCCGGATTTGTTGGGCTGGACGGCGCGATGAGAATCAGAGGAGACCCAGGAAGCTTGCACTGCAACATACAGATGCTAGAGTGGATCAAGTCACAATATCTGAGCAACATGCTGCATCTCACTATATTAGTCAAACATTAGTTTTTTTTCATATAAAATTGTAGTAAAATAAATTTAAGTTAAAACTATGGCTCTGATGTAGGAGAAATATTCAATAACAATAATAAATAAATAAAAAGGGTCTATAGTTGGTTTCATACCAACTACAGACCCAGATAAGTCACTGCTAGACTCAACAAGCATAGGAAAAACTGTTATAATTTATTCAAGACTTGACTATTACACTGAAAAAAAACAACACATTCAATAAATTTTTTCCTTTGTCATTAGTCATGGATTTTACCGGTTTGTTCTGCGAAAGAACTCCAACAGCAGGATCCCAGGGACGCTTCAGCAGCAGAGACAAAGCCTCCGCACTCGGAGCTCCAGTCTTTGCAGACGGCAGCAGCATTCTGTCGATGAGCGTCGGCAGCTTTGCATAAACAGACAAAACAAAATTCAGCTCTCTGACCAAGAAAGTCATGAAACATTACAAACACCGTGTTGGTCACCAAGACCTGGTGTTCAGTGACTAAATCAGACCTTGCTTTTTAAAGTCTGCAGCACATCCAAGTAAGCTGCAAGCATGGGGAGACTCAACGACTCAATCAGCGTGGTGTGCAGCCACTGCGTCAGCTTGGCTTCCCAGTTCACGCTGGCGAGCGCGTGCCTCACCTTCCTGGCACACTTGTCTACAGCTATCCTCCGCAGAATGGGCTCGTTGGAAGCCTAAAATGTACAGATGAAGAAAAAAAATGTCGTTGCTGATCAAGTGCAGCACTGCGGGGTCTTTCGTCTAAATACCGAATCCAGAAAAACGCATCAACTTTTACTCAGAAAACTGAAGTTTAAGGCGATGGTAATATTCAAGCACAGAAAGAAAAAAAAAAAACATTTCGATGCGTGCCACACACATTAACTGTCTAGAGTTGAAAACTAATAGAGAAACAACAGCAAAAAAAAGAAAAAGTTACATTTTCATTGGCCAGTCTTGCCAGTCTTTCTCCCTGTAGAGCTTTAAGGACTTTGTTAAACAACTTGTTCTGGGTCACTGACCAGCCCGTCCTGAAAAAGAAAAATGATCTCAAAATACTGACCTGCTGATAGGTGTGTTACACTTAAAAGCTTCAAATATTGCAGCAGAAGTGATTGATAAGCATGTCTGATTACTTGTCTATGTGTTCCTCCCAGTCATCTGGAGGTGGGGGGCCGTCGGCGGCTGTTCGAGCAAACAGGACATGCCTCTCACACTCCTTCATCACACTCAGAGCCTTGTGGTTGTCATACAGGGGAACAGGTATTGGAGTGATCGTTTCCACATCTATTAGGGAATCTGCGTCTCTGTACGGGAAAAAAACAACAAAGAAATTAAATGAATAAACAAAAAAAGTCTATTTCCTTAGAACACTTAAAACATTTTTTTAAACTCACAATAAGGTCTCGGGTTGACGACGCGGCGTCACGAACAGCGTTCTTGTGGGCCGAGCGCTGCTGGCATCAGGGTGAGCGTTCCATGGTTTGGCGTAGCTGTGGTCCAGAAACACCAGGTCCAGCTCCCGTTCGTAGGCCGACAGCTGGAAAAGCAAGGACGTCCCCATCTTGCGTGCAGATGACTGTAAGTCCTTATCCCCGCGGTGCATCTTCTTCCTGAGCCACGCCCGGCCCAAAACGGACCCCAGCCACTGGTGGGGCGTTTAGATGAATCTAGAAGAGGAGGAACAGGAGAGCATTTAGAGACGCTTAAAGAAATGAGAAAATAATGTTTCTCTTGTTTTAATGCCTACTGAGGAATAAATGTCAAACTTTGTGTTTTGCAAAGTTATGCAGACCACTATTATCCTCACTGCGATGGCTTCTGAGGGAGAAATCATCTGTGACATTTCAGAGACTAGTCAACAATCTCATTCTACCCAAGCCAGCGTTACTGCTTTTCTCGCAGAGAGACAGATGTCGCACATCCAGCTTCTTGTTTACCAATTTCACCTTTAATGTCGGATTATTTGTCCCAATTGTGTTCAATGTGAGGCATTAAGTGAACACTGAAAAGCACATTTATACAAAATAAATTATGTTAATTTGAACCCACAAATAAAAAGTAAGAGACATCATCATGTTGGAGGTGAAACAAGTAAAACAGAGGCGACTATCAAAGCATTAGACAGTACAGATTTAGATCATGTTACAATAATCTGAACAAACTAAATTGCAGATTGTCCCACTAAGAGATAACAGCAGGTACGTCACTATTAGCAACTTTCCAGACACTTTATTGGTGACTATGTTAAATAATAATAATAATAATAATAATGTGCAGTCTAAAATTGAAGTTTCTATTCAACAAAGCTGTATATGATTTTCCCAAAGAATTAGAAAAATGTTAATAAAATAAATATTCAACTCCACAATCTTCAATGTAAATTTAGAAACCCAGACCTTCTGCCTTTGAGATGCAGAAGCTTTCCTATTTCTGAACCATTACACGTCTAATTGGTGTCAATTAAAACGCAATACATTGACACACACACGTCGTCGTATGTGTGCATAGAGTTATATGAATATTATGGTATGACCTTGGATGTGATTTTGTTGAAACTGCTCTGCTGTCAAGCCTGCATTTGAATCCACATCTTCAAAAATCATACACAGAATCTTGTCAACCCAGAAGATTTGTTACTATTCATGCCCATGTGTTAATATTCTGGCATAAATCATAAGCAAATGATCAAATTAGAAACATGTGCAGTCAGGATACGTGGGATTAAGATCATAATTAAAAACAAAAAAAAAGGCTAAAATAACTTACAAACTGAGAAGACAATTGTCATATAAATACGTATTTGAGTTTTGTGTAACAGTCAGTAAATCTTGATAACCCCCACCGAACAACGTCGCACTATTAGTTTAAGTAAATATTTAACACCACATTAAGCCTGTTCTTTAGCTTGAACAGGCTAAAGACACTGAGGGCTAAAGAGAGCTGGCCTAGCTAGCAGAAGGATGTTAGCATAGCAAGCTAAAAGCAAAGACGTAAGACGTCGTTTCAGCGTTCAGTGAAACATACCTTCTCATCTGATTAGATCATCTTTGATGGTATGACGTCCGAGCCGAGTAAGTAAAAAGGAGGTTTGTGTGAAACAATGTGATGAAAATATTGCAAGCAACATAAATCCACTCTGCGTGAAGCCCTTACTTTCTTTTGTTGTCTGGTTTGTTGCCCTGTCGCGCTTCAATTACCCCCCTTTTCCTCTCGTTGATCATAGGCAGGAGAGGAGAAGCTGAAATGCACCCAATATGGCAACCCAGTTTGTGGCGCCTCAGAGAGTGACGCAAAACATGGACTGGATCACTGCAGTGGATCATAAATCTGGAAACTGGTCAAAAATACAGAAAAAAAGTAATAAAAATTACACTGGCAGTATTTTTCCCCCCCATAAATGTGATAAGCATAAAGATCGGTGAGGCTGTTTATATGTTTATATTAATAATAATAATTGCCTTAATTATGATCTTTGTTCAGATCAACAGTATGACTATTCACTTTCATTCATGTCATAAGCAACAATTCTCTAAAATCATAAAACGATTTGGAACAGGGTAATTCGAGTGCCATACCGTTAAAAAAATGTATGATCACATTTATCTTTATCACAATACATAAAATATCCTGATAAAATTCCAAGTCTGTGTCGATTCACCTCTACATACACCATCTTAAAATAATCACACCTCCACAGGCACCAATAATCCAAAAGGTTGAAGGTCATGCAGGCACAAAATTGAGGTCAAGCAGTTAACAGAACAACCTTCCCAAAAAAACTGTCTATTTGGCACATTTTATGTTTTTTATTTTTTTTCCCCCAACGGTCTCTGACCCCTTCAAGTAAATTAAGTCAACATTCCTATGTTGATGTTTGATTCCAAAGGTCTCTGCAAAAAGCAATATTTAAAGGACACAATCCTCAAAAAACATTTCAGCATATTTTTCCTTACCTGGACAAAGTCAAACCTGACAAATCACTGATTTGGTAAGTTTGGTAAGAAATGGTAAGTTTTATTTAGCAATTAGTTCCTTGTGAGGGTTTCTAAAACTCTTGTTACATTTTTTATGATTCTGTTTGCATGTGCATGCTTACATCAAAGGATCGATTATTTACATGACAATTTTCTCCAGTTGTTTATCAAAGTGCACTTAAATCCAAAGAAATATTTGGCACCGGCTGTGCTGCTCTGTGTCGTGATGTCGCTGTCAGACTGTCAGTGCATTTTCAAACTCAGGACACCCGGTAAAACGAAACAGTCACAGAATACTTATGGTTCTTATGATAAGGTTTTTTTGCTTTAAATATTCAAACCCATATCTTGGTTTTGTTTCTCCTAGAAAGAGAAAATGAGACTCATTGCCAGGATGGTGTGGATTTGACATGGCATCCTAAAGAGACAAAATGGAGGAACAGTGTATGTCAAAATTGTACTTGTGACGAATGCTGCTATGGGTATGTGCAAAAAAATTCTTCATGTTATTGTGAACACAAAAGAAGAGTTAGATGTGCATGCATTTCATAGTTTCTTCTGCTTGCCGTCTGATTTCAGGTATGCAACTCCAGTAATGTTCCCTGAAGATTGTGTTTCTGTGTTTGACCAGAAGACATGCCAGTATGTTGTCCACAAGAAAGACAACTCATCTGTGCTCTGTCCCATTTTTGCTGCTGTCGGAAAATAATAGTTTATCTAAACATCCTAATGATGTTTTTTTTTATAAAATACTAAGAAGATCCTTTAATCTGACTTTGTAAAGTACATTCACATCCCTACAGAAAAATAAAAACGAATACAATAGCTCAGCATGGTTGTCATGTGTTTGCACAAATAAAAGATGTTTGACCTTCTGAAATCTAACTATTGATTCAAATATTTACTCAAGGCTCATCTCCAAAAGGCACAGTGACACAGAAGGCCCAGGGATTGAACCTCTGATGTCCAAAACCTTTGCTGGGAGAAAAAACAGAGATGAGAGTCGTGACTGGATGAAAATCAGGAAAAAACTAAAGAAGAGATTTACCAGGAGACAGGCAAGGTCACAAACCAGAGACTCTTTGAATATTGGTGTCAGCCGTTCACAGGTTCACTGTGGACTGGTCCTTTTGTTTTTATTTGCTAGCACATATTTGGCTACTAAATACAGAAAGCATTTTTGATTCATCGCATAAAATTAGTACAAATGCTCTTTTTTCTTCACGAATTGTTTTCTTGTAGGAGGGACACTTTGTTTTTTTCCATCACTTCTGAACTGCGAGAATGTTATGCGGTATTAATCCAGAATAGATGATGTAAAAGCAAAAAAAAAAAAAAACCCTCTAAAGTTGTTTAGAGCTCAAGACTCGAGTGCTCTCACACACTTGGCTTGATACACTTCATAGCAAGCAATGCAAATAAAAAAGAGAAAAAGTCTTATAGAAGGAACACATGTCCAACAAATGTCTGGAAAGCTCGAGAGATTTGGCTGCCAATTTTACAAACAAACAAAGGAATGCAGTGAGTAAAAAATATTGGTTCATCGGTTGATTGAACACAAGCAAGGCATAAAAACGAATGGCCAATAATCAGAGACAATTTGTTCCAGCCAGGCATGATGAGATGAGACAGTAAGTATCTGAAAAGAAAAAAAAACATTTGCAGACCAAGTATGAGGTTTTTTTTTCTGGTATATTTGAGGATTTTCATTGACATCTTGTAGCTTCGTGTAACTTCTGAAACATATTCTACAAATAGAAAAATCAAGAAACTAAAACATATTTACCACTTCACACGTGATTTCAGACTCCTTCCAGGTGTTTCTTTGATGTGTTGGGTTTTCTTTGTTTACACAAAGCCAGGGACCTGTAATCACAGATAAGGATAAATGCTTAAGTGCCAAAACACACAGTGTTTGGTGGGGTCACTGCTGTCAGTGCAAAGCAGCCCTTTCCACTAGGTGGCAGGAGTAGTCAGAAGATTGTGGGGCTTTCACAACGTTGTCCTCATCACTCTTCCCATTAAGATCCAGGGAAAAAGAGAGAAACACATGGAAAGTTTTTGCAAACACATCCAGGGTTGGAGGGTTTTTCTGTCTACATGGCACAAACAAAAGAGCAGCTTCAGATGTAGTTTGAGGAGCTTCTCTCATCCATGTGCATGTTGCCTTGAACCTGCAGATGAGGGGGTGCCACCAGCACCTCTGCTTTGTCTCAGTCTTCCTCTTCAAACACTGAGCAACACTCACAGCTTTCCCCTTGGATTACTGCATCTGAAAACATCAGTGGAGGATTGACAGAAGAATCTGCAAAAAGGATTAATCCTTTCTTCTTCTTCTTTTTTTTTTTTTTTAAATCTGATTGTTATGTGATTTTCTCCAAGTGGAATGATGTCTCAGTGCTGGAGCCAGAGGCTCTGGTTCCCCGTTGTGTTTGGTGCCACACTGGTTCTGCTCACTGCTGTGGATGCTGGACCAAACCAGGGCAGGAGGCAGGCTCAGCAGTCCTCATGCTTCGGAGGTTTTGATCTCTACTTTGTTCTGGACATGTAAGTTGGCCAACACTTTACCTGGCACTCTTGCAAGGGGAGCAAATGGTTTCACATGTTGACTGAACTAGCTCAAATTGACAAGAATGGTAAATAATGTAACAGAAATGTATCCCCAGTGACAGGGCATGCAAGTCCCCCTGCCAGTTACACACAGCTCATATTTTCTCAAAGTATGTTACCTAGTTATACTCTCCATGGCGGCAGAGTGCACTGTACATTAATGATTTGTAATGTTTTATCAAGTTGTGCTTTGTGCTCTAAGTCTAACGTGTCAGTTTCACTGCAGTAAATTTCCAAATGCTTGTTAATGACCAGGGAGCTAGGATAACTAGCCTGTTTGGTTTTGACATGCAGACATCTGTGTTTGTCTAACTTGGGCTTGACTCATCGTTTTGGTATTTCTCACCATGTAAGGCCCATTTTACCAACAAATAAGTCAAGCTGGACTTATTTGTTGGTTCTTAATGGGGTCCAAAGCCCAGAGTCCATAAGAAGAAATGCTGTTGTCGGGTTGAGGGTTAGGTTTAGGACAGAGGTGTGAATTGAGGTTAGGTTAGGTTTCAGGGTAGGCATGCACTGACAATGGTTGCATTTCCTGTAAGGGGCATGGTGAGGTTATGGACATAAATGAAAAATGAATGGAAGTCAATGTAAAGTTCTCGAAAGATGCATAAATGTGTGTTTAAGCAATTTCAGTTTGTGCTCAAATGTAGGTTACAACCTTTTCAGTAGCATTTACCATCCCCAAAGACATGGTAAATAGTCGCGGTGCATTTTCTCATTTGTCTACAATTTCCCTAGTGTCTTAATGCTTCTCACATGCTGTGATTTTACACTCACAATACTCAATTCTAAGGCTGAAGGGAAATGAGGGATGGTTTTTGGAGGTTTTTAAAAGTAAATTCTAAAATCTGGCTGTGTTTGTTGATACATTAATGATTTTTCAAACGGTTTACAAGTAAAAATCTAAACCGTGAAGAATTCGCGCAAGAACTGACTCAACCCCCTGAGTCTTTAATTCTTTTTGTTGAGTTTCCATGTCTTTTGAAGTGTGTTCTCGCTAAACTTTGCAGCTTTAGAGACTTTTATATTTGGGTCCGTTTTCTTTGTAATGCAACACAAGCTCAGTCAGATGGAATGGAAAATGTCTTTGGACATTAATATTCAAGGAATGCCCCAGATTCTCAACTGGATTTAGGTCTGGACTTTGACTGGGCCATTTTGACTCATGTTAATTTTTTTTAAAATCTGTTGTCTTGGTGCACATCTGGTGGGCTACGCAGCGACGCAGTTGATAGCACCACAGGAAGGTCTTGGCAGGATGTTTTTCTGTATCGAGTTTGCATGTTCTCCATGTTTATGCATGGGTTCTCTCCAGCTCCCTCCTTCCTACGTGTCTCTTTGTTGTTGATTTAATAAAAAGTTGGGCATTAGTTCTCTAAAAACACTCCTCCTCTTCCCGTATTTCAACATATTGTTTCTCCAAATGAACCTTTCTCTGATGTCCTTCATCTGCCCCCAATGTCTTCTTCGTCCTGGACACTACTTCTTACTCTCTGTCAGCTCTGCCTCTCTCAATTTCATCCAGATGTTGAGCCTCTTGGCACAGCTGCTTGAGCTGGGACTTGTGTCATGGTAACGCTGGAAAAATATGTATTAGGAAAACTCAAGGTCTTATGAAAACACGGTTTAAATGAAAGATCGTTTGATAGGAATCAGCGGTGACAAGCACGCAAATGCCATAAGATCCTTCCCAAATGGTATTTATCTTCCAGCAGAGCAGGAAACAGCGGCCTTTGTCATGATCACAGTGCAAGGGAATTAAATCCTGACGTTACAATATGACAGTGGAAAGGTCAGATGTGAGATTATTTAATTGGGGAGAAGACAGCTGCCATCAGTCAATGTCCCGTCTGACAGAGAAGTGATTACGCAGGAACTGGAAAATGTTTCAGTTACTTTTAGAGGATTTCCAAGTCCTCTAAAAGAAAACTGATACCCAAGTAAGTATGGGATCATTGATTCATCTTGAGGTAAAGCAGCTCAGAACAATTTCATGGATTCAGCTGCTTTTTCTGCATTTTACTAAACACTGCAAAGAGAAATAAAAGTTGAAGATTTCAACAAAACACAATAGTTAATGAATGTCAAACAAAATGGACAGAAATTGGACAGGGAAATCAGAATGCCTAACAAAAACAGTCAATGGGATGCTTTTCTTCAACTTTGACAAGGAAACTGAACTGAGCTAATGGCAAGATGGATGGATGAAAACAATGTAATTATGCAAGAAAACCTACTAGACTCCGTAAAACTTAGTATAGAGCATCTCTTTCCAGCAAGTCAGTAAATATATAAACAGCCAGAGCTGCAATTGAATGTTTTAAAGCAAGAAATATGTATGTGTTCAAATGTCTCGGTTGAGGTCCAGTCAATTAAACTGAGATCCATTGACAAGAGTTAAAAAAGCTGATCACTTTCCATTCAATCGGACTGAGCTTGAGCTACGTTGAAAAGAACAATGAACAGCTATTTGGATCCGAAGATGAAAATAGCTGATAAAGACATAAGAAAAACACTTGTAGCTGTATTTGTAGTGAAGATTTGTTCTTCAAAGTGTTCATTCAGGGACATGGATCGCACGTTTTGAAATGTTTTTGTTTAATCGAAAAAGCTTGCATACTTTTTCTCCCTCTTCAAAATGACAGAACTTTGGAATGATTAAATAAAAGTAAAATCCTAATAAAAACAGGTAACATCCTTTTTGAAGGCACTGCATACTATCCTCCATCACCGTCAACTCCTTAGACGCTCAAACAGAGGCTGAAGCTTATTCTGCTCGCGTTAAGCTGTCCGCTCTCTTCTCAGATCTGGAAGTGTGCAGAATCACTGGAATGAAATCTACAGTTTTGTCGAACACCTGGCACATAAATTCATAAGGTAATAGCCCAGTGTCCGTGAGAAACTGGCTGGTATGACCTAATTACTGATCTTGTATTTTTCCGCTCTTCTCACCCCAGCCCACAGTTGCGGATGTCCTTCATTGTGTTCTCCAACGAGGGACGGATCTTGATGAGGCTGACAGAAGACAGGTGGGAGCAGATGTCCCGAACTTGTTGAAAATCCTTTGCTTCTCTGCCATACAGCTTAAAGGAAACAGTAAAGCTGCAGATTTGGACAGATGTGATAGTTATGACACACAATTTTTATGACTGAGCAGAGAATCCAGACAGATACTGTCTCTTGCTATGATAGTTTTGCAAGTCGGGGCAAGTATTTTATCATTTGATTTTGACATATTGTGAACACTTCATGGATTTATATTTCCTGAGCATGCAGACCGTCTTCTTGCAGGTTTAATGCTTCCGTCATAAATAATGTTGGTAGACAAACAGGTTGCTGACAATTTGAGTGGCTGTCAGAAGTCATTATATAGAGAAACACAAAATGGCGACTATCTCTAAAGGGGAAGAAAACTTATCCAAGTGTTTTTAAATGCTTATACAAAGAAAAGTGTGAAAAGTGTACTTTACGTATACCTTCAGCCTCCTTTACCCTTATGCTACTATATAAAATTAGTAGTAAATAGCATATTTCTGGAGGATTTACAGAGATCCATATATCAAATGGAAGAATCTGGACATCCACTCATTGTGAACTCGGCACATTTGGTTTTTAGGGAGGAGTATCAAGAAGAAATCCATTGGTGAAAGAAAGTCATAAGAAGTCCTGCTTTCAGATACAGAGAAACATTTAAGAAAACAACATGAACAATTTACCTTTTGCATGCTGCATTTCAGTCTAACTTTATCGAGTCACTGTTTTTTGTCCAGTTTTCTTGCTTGACTGGGTCCCGTTTTGTTAATACTAATATTTGTCTGTTGATTATTGTCTTGTTTATTTTTCTTTGCTTCTTTTTCTCTCTTTTCTTCACTTTTTATTTCTTGTCCCATTCATATGCTCAGGACTATAGATGGAAATTACAGGAAATTATCGCTAAGTTCTACACATTTAGTATTTTTAGTCATGTTTGTTAATGATATAGTTTCCCATTTCCAATAAATAAAATACAATGAAATAAAAAAAAAATCATGCAATAAATGCTATGGTTCCATCCCCTCCATCAACATGGTGTTGGGAGCGTCATGCTTTTGTGATGCCTTCCTTTCAGCAGGGACATAAAGCTGGTCAGAGTTGATGGAAAGATGAATGCAGTTAATTAGAGCACAGTCCTGGAGGAAAATCTGTTGGATGCTGTAAAAGACTTGAGACTTGAGATGAGGCTCAGTTTCCAACAAGCGTAAAAATTCAACGCTACCTACACTGGAATGGTTTAGATCACAGGTGTCAAAGTCCAGACCTGCAGGGCCCCGGCTCTGCAACCTTTAGATGCACAACACATCTTTTCATCCAATCTGACTGGACTCAAACTATATATAAACCATCAGTTTGTGGATGTTCTTTAACCACACAATCATGCAGTAATTTGGTTCCGTTTTTTACGTGCAGTGCAAATAAAATAGTCTGTAGTTTAAATGCGACAAAAATGTGTCAAAAGTTTGACCTTTACTGCTAGTTTTGCAAAGCCTCATTTGTACTGATTGGATTTTACACATCTGTTAAGCATTGCTTGTATTTTCTCAAAGGACTGTTGTTATGGAAACTATTATTCTGTGACCAAACTTAAGTGTGTCTGGCTTTAGTGGGGAGATAAATCAACAAACGATTCTGACAGAATAAATATTTTTGATCAGATACCATTATCTGTTACTCTGGGTTTCTGCACAGGGAACGTATCCGTAAAGGTCTGGAGGAGCTCCAGGCAGTTCTACCAGGAGGAGACACTTATATGCATGAGGGCATCCAGCGGGTGAGTGAACAGCGTCCAGTTCAGAGCTAACTCGGGTCTCATCGCTTCGACGGCTCCAGAAACAGGAACCACACAGTCCAGAGCTCCCGCATGGCTCTTGTGTTGGAGCAGGAAGGGGCTTCACTTTATTCACTGCTTGCTTCACTGTTTCATGCAGGATTTTTTTTTATTTTTACAGGCCAGTGAGCAGATTTACCATGGAAACACAGAAGGTGGGTTTTATCTCAACTCCTAGTGAGGAAGGATTTTTATTTTCACAAAGCTTCAAAGTTGGAAAATATTTCGCCTCTACTTTCTGCAAATTATTTTGATTTGTCTTTTAAAATGTCTCTTGTGGAAACAAAGAACTGGTTGAAGTGATGGTAAATAGTTTCGACTCTCTTTCTCTTTCACATAGCACTTTTATCATTTTTTGAATTGCTCTTTGTACCAGGGACATTAGGGAAACAATATTTAAACTCTGTGTGTGTCTTGACAGTCTTGACAATAAAGTGGAATTGAATTGTATTTTCTAAAATAGAAAATATGTGGACATGTCCAAACACAATGCATGATTAAATGTCCCATACATTGGGCTGTGTCATAAAATTTTGCATGGACTGAAACATCATTGTCGTTGCAGCGTCTTCTAGGTTTTGATCAACCTGAGGGATGGATGTCTTTGGGTTGTTTTGAAACTTCCTGACCGACTGACCTGCGTTTGTTCTCCTATAATATTAAGAATAAAACGGGCCATGACAACAGTACATTTTTTTGATTGCTTCTGTGCGCAGGTTACCGCACAGCCAGCGTCATCATAGCTCTGACTGATGGAGAGCTGCTGGAGGATTTTTTCTTCTACGCAGAGAGGGAGGTGAGGCAGTAAAAACAGAGAATATGACAAACTTTAGCGTGTTACTGACACGCCAGATGAAAGGCTGTCAGGACATATATCATCTTTTGACCTCCCTGCTATCTGAGGTCTAATGATTTATCTGCTCCTTAGACCTTGCAGGCACTCTGCATGCAGCCGTCCCTCCATTCTTCGCTTTTATTGCCTGATACATGTTTAATCGCCAGGCTGATCTGAGATTCCCGCTAGCTGGAATCTCAGTTTCTTGGAAATTACGGGGGTCTTAATGTCATTAATTGTCAACTGCAAACTCCAGGTTGATAATTTCCTGCAAAATGAACAATCAGACCTACATATTTTGTTTGGCAGACAGACAATGACAGTGTAACATTTGTGTCATTAGGCCTTTGAGTGTTGTTATGCTTTAAAACAGAATTGCTCAACTGCTTGTAAAGTCATGGCAGAGGCAAAAATCGTTTTTAGAGGGTGACGCTGCGAAAGGCTGAGGTGTAATTGAAGCCAGGCATGGAGCTTCTTCCTGTTTCCACTGTGATTCTGTGTGCATACCTGACAGGCTAACCGCTCCAGAAGTCTGGGTGCCACAGTTTACTGCGTTGGAGTCAAGGACTTCAATGAGACACAGGTGTGTAGTTTTGAAGTTTTTTTATTTGTTTTGGCTTTTGTTTTTTGCCTCATGACATCAAAGCGTCGCCTGAAGGGAGTTGCAACTTCCAACGTCAGCAAAACACAAATTTATACGCTTTGAAAATCTAAATTAAGCGATTTTATTTCTGCAAAGACTAAGTAGTTGTGCATTCAGGATTTGAGGCTTGTTAGCTCGATTAATGTGTTGTGTCAAGCCAAGAGGTCTTTTTTTTAACAATCTTGCATATTTTTCTTTTTTTCCCCCCCATTTTGACCCATTATAATAACAAGCATTAATTTATTTTATTGGGATGTTACGTAATAGACCTACTCGAAGTAGCTCATAACTATGAGATCAAAGGTAAACAATGCATGTTTTTTTTGGACACATATAAATCTGAAAAGTGTGGCATGCATTTATATTCCCCATGAACCTTGATCTTAATCATTTAATCCACCAGCCTTTTGCAGCCTCTGATAGGTTTCCTCCAGGACTGCAGTGACTGTAGATCCATTCATCTCGTTATTAACTCTACCTTGAGTTAATAATGTTAATACGTACGTCTCAGTAGCATAATGCTGCCACCACCATGCTTTATCAGAGGAAGCAGACTTAATTATGTTCATATTAAACTGATAACCTTGAATGGGGGACATTTTTTCAACAAATTCTCACAACATATTTGGTTCAAAATATATTCCAGAGAAGATTTTTTTTTTTTTTTTTAACCCAGTGGATTTTAATGTTTGCTAAACGGCTCATATGACCAGAGCTCCTTCTTCCACATGTTCTTCTACGTGTTATTGTGTCTCGTATGGATGTGTAACATGCAAGCAAAACTTATTTTGGTCAATTATAAGTGATAACTTATAAGGGTCAATTGTGGCTTTATTTTTGCCACGTCAATAAATTCTTGCACAGCGAATCTCTGCAGCTCCTCCAGAGTTACCATGGGCCTTTTGTCTAGTTCTCTCTGAACTCCTTTCTTGGTCTGTCATTTTGGGTAGACAGACGTTTGACTTGGCAGGTTTGCAGTTATCACATAATCTACTTTCAGATTATTTATTCAACAATGTTTTGTGATCGTGTTCCAATCATAATTATTTTAGTAGCCTGTCTGTTTTCATCATCTTCAAACCTTTACCTGTGTTGGTCTTCATGATGCTGTTTTGTCATTGATGCGCTCTAACAAATCCCAGAATCCCTCACATAACAACTGGATTCATATTCCACCTCTTTGTGTTAGCCTGTCATAAAATCCCAATGAAATGCATTGAAGTTTGTGGTTGTAAATTCAAAATATTCACAGGGTATCAATATTTTCAGAAGGCAACTAAATTATGACAGAGCAAACTCTTTAGTTGAGTAAACAAATGTGCTAAAGCTGTAACCAGACCATCTCCCCCTGTCATTTGGAGCAGTAATGATTTGTTTCATTTCTAGTTGGCGAAGATTGCTGACAGTAAAGACCACGTCTTTCCTGTAAATGGTGGATTTGAGGCTTTGCAAGGAGTCATAGATTCGGTAAGCTTCTCTCTGTTGCCACACTCACATTTACACATAGAGCAGATTTTAATACCAAGAAAACAAAATGATGTTACTTAATTGGTCTTCTCCTATTAGCCTCATCTTTAGTTCCCCATTATTCCTTGAAAGTATCACACGTCAGAACATGCATAACAAAGTGGAAACGTGTATTTTTTTTTTGTTGTTGTTTTTTTTTCCTTTTAAGAAGCAGTAAAGGTCAGACAGCTGTAGACATCTGGATCAAATTAAGAGCAAGCTGAAAGCTGCAGCTTCTTACCAATGTGTGTGTCTGTGTGTGAGTGTGAGTGTGTGCCACTGGGTTATGAATCAACCCTCCTCCTCTGTAGGGGTCACAGCGTACATGTTTCTAGATAAATGTGGGTCAATCCTTTGCAGCTCAGCAGTAACCACACATGAACCTCAAAATGCCTCGTGGTTCAAACTGGTTTACATTGTGAGAAAAACAAACTCTAGTATTGCTGAAAGACACAAATTGTGCTTGTTTTCTGTTTTTCTCCTCAGATTCTGAAGAAGTCCTGCATCGAGATTCTGGCAGCAGAGCCTTCCAGCATATGTGCAGGAGGTAGGACGGGAAAGACGAGGCTTTTCTTTCACTTCCTCTGTCTGTTTAATAACTCCCCGTTCAAGAGTGCTTCCATTCCCCATAGCTTGACAAAGTCTGACTTTTTTCTGACATTTAAATGAAAACAAGGTGTAATGGAGCACATCATAAAGCATGGTTTTGTATTTGCTTTTGTTGAAGGTGACAAAATACAAATATCACAATAAATTAATCTCACTGCAACAAGTAAGAAAATAAAGAATGATTCTAATGTCATATATAAATGAATAAGAAGCAAATGAAGCTGAATTATATTTAACAACATCTGTTAACTTGACAGCTGCATAATATTATTGGGACACTTATCATTATTTTTATAACTTTTCCTGTTTGGCTGTGTTCAGGATAGTAGCTGATCATAATTATCTCCATATCTAACATTGAGAAATATGTTTAAAAAAAAGGTTAAAATGCTGTTATACAAGTTACCATTTATTAAGGTACAACACTGACAAAAAGATAATGTCTTGCTGCAGCTGGTCATTGTAGGTAAACATGTAGGAGGAACATGGAAGTAGCTTATTTAATTGAGCTAATTTAATAAATCAGAATGCATACTGACAGAGGACACATAAAGCATAAAAGCCATGATGAAACATCAGCATTTTTGACAACTTGGGAAACTTTGTGCTCACAAACAACTGCTGCGGTAGAAAGTCAACTGTGCTCTATTCAAATGTCATACTTTTAAGACTAAAATATGATTACATTTGTCCATTATCAATGCTGTTGAATTGACGTACTGTACGTTTCTGTCTTTCGATCTCCAACCAGAGTCATTCCAGGTTGTGGTAACAGGAAATGGGTTCCTCCATGCCAGAAACGTCGACAAAGTTTTGTGCAGCTTCCGGATCAACGACACTGTGACCAAGAGTAAGTCAACCATCACCAAACAAAATGGGTCTTACACACACCACACATGACCCGGAGCTACAGAGCAGGGAACGCAGTTGTTTCACTGTGAAGTCAGCTGGAGCAACAAGCGTGGAGAGTCATCTGAACAGCTGGAATCATTCCCGATCAAACAAGCGGCTTTACTGTTGCTACCGGCATTATTGCCTTTTTAAGGCGACACTTTGGGCTGTTTTATAGGCTGATGAAAGGGGGAGAGCAGGCGATAAAAGAACGGCTGCACCGCACACAGGGCAAACAGAGATAAAAGGTCTGTATGGATCCAAACAGATCCCCCCTGGTCTTTACAAGCGGCTTACTGTAATGGCAGTAAAAGCCGCCGTCCTACGCTTGCTGCATTAAGTGCAAAGAAAACTGTTTACCATCAGCGGAGTTCAAACATGTCAGTTTTTGTAGTTGAACTCACAAACGATTGTGAACTTTTTAACCTGATTCTTGGAAATTATTTTGCCATCTTGGCCAAGTTGTGCTTTCTTGTTGATATAATTGGTCAGTATTTTTCAAATATACTCATTTTCTCTTTTCTATGTGACCGATTATATTATTATCGCAAGCTTCCTGCAAAGAAGCTACCTCCTTGCATCCGCCCTGCTATCTTTCCTCAGGGCAATTGGCTTCTTGAGAATGTTTGCACACAATCTTTCTGGAACTTATTTCCCCTAAGAGGTAAACTTTAAAGGAAGATAATTGGGTCATGGTTGGGTCTCCCAGAGATAAAAGCCTTTTTTTCCTTTTGCCAATGCGTTTGTCCTTAACCTCCTGCATACGAGGTTAAAGACCTCGTCAAAGTGGTACAAAAGGAAAAGCAGAGCTGTGCCATGACATGTGTTAAACAGATGAATTGATGTTTGAGTTTGTGTCTCCAGGAAAAAAGTAGCAGCAAAAAACAGTCAGGCCCGCGGGGAGTTGGCAGGTCTTGTCCTGAGCTGTTCGCTGTTCGGTGACAGATGTTCGAGTGGAGCAGTGGGTGATTACTGCAAAACATGGACCAACTCTGGAAGTCCTTCTGTCATTTTGAGTGCAAAATGAAGCTATGTAAACAATTTTGTCCTCTGCTCATTTAAAAAGCAGATAACTTCCATGTTGTTTTGTTTATTTGCAGTTGGACAGAGTATGAAACAGACAAGTTTATCTTTGGCTCAAGGATGTTAAACATTTATCACATTTATAACACACTGTTCTTCCAGTTCTACGGTTGCTTGCAAAAGTGCTCATACCCTTTGGCTCCCCCCCCCTCGTTTTGGTGAATATGTCTCATACTCACATTGGAAGAAGTGCATCTGTTCGTGCAAGTTTTCAAGTCTTCTCCACTGCATTTACGTCTTGACCATTCTAACAAATAGTTATGATTAGATTCAAACAATCCAATAATTGTTCTGTTTCAGATTGTTTTGCTGCTGAAGGTGAACTGCCAACCCTGTCTGAAGTCCTTTGCAGATGCACAGTTATTTTTGTTGCTAAAATCCCAGCAAGTAAATTTGACAAATGTTCAATTCAAAGCCAATTCTCCAGCTTTTCAAACATACAACTTTTTCCTGCTGTTGCCAGCATCATCCCAATGTTTATATATTTGTCTTCTTCCAAAGTTTATCCCTTTTCTTCTCAACTCTGGCCACTTGTCTGCACCTCACAGCAAAACATGACCTCTCCCGGAGCAACCAGTCGAATAAAACATTGTGACGCAGACTGAGGACGCTGAGCCAAAGCCCTTCTCCTCAAAGGGTTTCTCTGGAAAATCTGCAGACGACAGCAAATCCCTTCCCATCAACTCTTGAACTGGGATTTTCTCCTATACAGTTTTGTTTTTCTGCTTTCAATGGATCATTTGAGTCCATTACCATGCTTGGCTTCGTTTGTCATAACGTGGAGTCATTTCTGGCAGTGACTGGCCACCTCCACCCCTGTTGCCTTCCCTCTGCATTGCTCTTTGTGTCTGTAGAAAAAACAAAACGGCTTCTTATGTTGATCCGGTCGGTTCCTGGGTTTGCTCTCCCCCTGTGATGACGAGCACGAGGCTCAGGTGACGGCGCTTGTTAGAGAAACTTCTAGAGCAATTATTTGAGCAACAGGTGGACTTCCAGAGCCTTGCAAAAGTCATCACATCCCTTAAGCACGTTCAGCTTTTGTCAAACTTCATGTGCCATTTGGTGGTTGATTTTGGAGAGCAACGCTTTTCACACTTGTTTAGCTGTGAAGTGGAAATAAAAGGTCATTTAAATCTCGGTATTTGTTCTCCTCGCCGTTACTCACCTGCTCCTAAATAAAGTTTTAGTGAAGCAAAGTGTGGATGCGTCATGCTGGAGCGTGTTTTTCTATAAGCAGGGATAGGGAAGTTAATAATAGATTAAGAGAGCATGAAGGGAACAAGATCTTTTAGAGTCGAGGTAAAATCCAGACCAGAATCCATTTTAAGAGTTGAACAAGAATTACTAGACGTTCTCCATCAAATCTAAGATAGGGTAAATGGTGAAACGATGGATTGTGATTCCTTCCATTTCATAATTGTCAACTACCATATTTTGATTTAACTCCTAAATTTTCAACAATAATTGACAAGATTCATGTTAGGAGAGTTTAGCGGCCAATCAGGCGCAGTAACGGTCACCGAACCAGCTGCTGGAAAATAAAATCAACATTTCTGCAAAGCTTGCCAACAGAAGTAAGCACAAACTGCTCTGAAATCTCCTGGTGGATTTCTGTGTTGACTGTGGACTTTGGAAAACACAGTGGGCCAACACCAGCAGCTGACATAGAGCTCGAAATCATCACTAACTGAGGAAACGCCGCTGAATTTCTCCGCTCTCCCTTTTGTCTCTGAGAGCTTCATTTCCAAATGAAGGTCAACCTTTGCTTTCATCTGAGAGGAGAAACGTGGACCACTGAGCAGCAGTTCATTTATTCCTCTGTTCTTGAAAGGAATTTGTTTGACAATCCTCCCAGTCCTGCAGCCATCCCCGCTGCTGGTGTATATTTTCCTACCACTCATTTTTTTCATTTTGAGAACCTTTCTGTGAATATATATATATTTCAATTGTCAGAGATGCTTAATTTGGGGTTTCTATTTGCTGTAGCCCACAGTAATCAAAATGACAATAAATAAAGGCTTCACTCAGACTAATGAAGCTACATAATACACGAGTTTCACTCCTAATGTTGGACTTTTTTCACAATATTCACATTATTTTTAGATGTACCCGTAGTATATTTTTCTCATCTCTTGACTAACTTCACCACAATCAATACAGAAACAAACCAACCATGGTTGCTTCTGTCAACACAATCATCTAAGTTTGTGATCTGGGTTCAGCAGTTTATCATCTTTTTTTCATTTTAAATGTTTTTCTCCAGTGATGAAGCCCCTGACTGTTGAGGACACATATCTCCTCTGCCCCGCCCCAGTCCTTCAGGAGGAGGGGATGTAAGTCCTTGAGCTCATTTAAACAAATCAAGGGGTTCATAAGAAACCTGCTCGTTGCTATTCTGAGGAAAAAGCAACGGCTGTAAATGACAGCTGAGATGTTTGTTCTTTTCCTCTCCAGGGCAGCGAATCTGGACGTCAGTATGAACGAGGGCCTCAGTTTTATCTCCAGTTCAGTCACCATTACCACTGTGAAATGTGTGAGTATAGTTCTCTGAAGCAGCAGAAGAAGGGTAACATGGTGTGCTTTTAAAAATAACTTAGAACAATGGATTTAAATGAAATATAGGTTCGTGTCTGAAGAATCCAGTTGCAAATTAAACCAAGGACTACTTGTGCAGCAATAAAGTCCTGAAATCTGATCTCTGTGATAGATAAAACCAAAAGAGCTTCTGCAGTGCAAAGCAGCAAGCCAAAAGCTTTGGCTGGCTTTTAGCACTCAGTGTTTTACGACGCCATGTTGATGATTCTGTCTCCGTTACAGTCTGACGGGACCATCCTGGCCATAGCTCTGCTTATCCTCATGCTGCTCCTGGTTCTGGCTCTCCTCTGGTGGTTCTGGCCCCTCTGCTGCACCGTGGTGAGTTATCCGTCAGGCTTCTATGTGTCTTTCATGCAGCTTTTTCAGGTTGCAGCAGGTTACATTTTGCAGTATTTTACATGCGGCTGTAAAAGTGCTTCTACCTCATGAAGATTTTCGCATGTTGTCACGGAATAATCGCAAGCTTCGATGCAGCTTATTGGAGTTTTATGCGATACTCCATGACAAACAAATGCGTTAAAAATGTTGACTTTCTAGATCCACGTTTTGCTGCGACAGCATCCTTTGGGGTATGTGGGTATCTGAAAGGGTGTAATTTTGTAAAATAGCTCAAGTTTGATGAGAACATCAATTTTGAATTCTTACCACAAACCCTAAACTGGACTTCGGTCTGTACTTTGACTGGGTCATTCTAACACGTCGAAACCATCTCATTGTGGCTCTGGCTGCATTTTTAGTGTTGTTGTCCTGTTGGAAGGTGAATATCAACCCCAGTCACAAATGTGTTATTGTTTCCAGCAGGATTTGTAATTAATTAAGTGCAATTATTTGCATTTTAATCAAAAACTCTAGGTTGACAAAATAAGCATTTTTAATTTCCTTTTGTTTTTTGCTGCTGATAGTAATATGATAGTGATATGTTATTTAGATTATTTGAGCATCAGATTGGTGCATCGTGACATTATTGCCAAGCGTTCCAAGAATCCCTAATCATCCATGTGACTTCTTGGAAAAAATACTACTTTATAAATGTGGATCCTGATGTTCGTGTTCATGACACCTGCGTTTGCTGCCACAACTTTTACATGGGGATTGTACTTTAGGCTTGGATAGCTGTGGTTACACACCAACTCGTTGTTCTGCCACTTGCACACGACAAAACTCTTTTTTCCAGAGTCGCATCAAATCATTCTTAAAAGCAAAAATTTGCTGCAGTGTTCCCAAGAGAAGCAGCTTGTCGTCCATCGCTGTTGTTTGCCAACGTCACAATCTGCGGGCCAACCAGAAACCCACAAATAATGTTTAAACACGCTGAAGATAAATGCATTCTTTCAGAATATCCAGATACTGCTTGTGAACTTTCAGGTCCTTTTATCAGCCCAAAGACTAATACTGGCAGGAACGTTAATATTTTTGTCTCTCTGCGAATCCTTAGAGGTGAATTTAGTCTTCAGAAGAGGTGAAGTAATACATGAATAAGCAATTATTGTGCTGATGATATAATTCATGGCTCCAAGAGGTAACAGGAGGTGACCTGTGAGCTCTCCTCCCTACTAAATACTCACTGAAAAAAGGTAAAATGGGTGCACTCTTAACAGCCCAGAATAATTTAAATTTCCAAGTAGTACTGTGGAAAGAAAAACACTTTGTGCCCACAACTTTTTTTGGAGGATAATGTCTTTTTTACCATGAGAAAAAGACAGCGTACGAGAAGTTTTAATAACATCTGATTTGGATGCAGTCAAATAGACGGATCACTTATATATATATAACTTAGTTGTTATTTAGAAAGAAGAGAAGCTACCAGCAGTGGAATTAAATACATTTGTCACCACCAGTTGAATGTCAGCCTCTCCTCAAAATCCCCTCTGGAGTTTCCAGTGCTGGAACCTAGAAAGCTGGGAAATGCCAGGGAGAGATGTGAGCTTTTACGGCGTGCCTTTCGCTCTGTGTAGTTTTCCTGTCCTTGTTCATTTAGCGAGTCTGATCAGCAAGAAAGTGTTTTGGAAAAATGTTGCAAGGTTACCATGGAGAATCCCAGGCTGGTCCAAGATTTCAAGGGGCAGGCATAAAAACCTACAAAAAACTCCAAAAACTAATGGTATTTAAAAATATGAAGGTTGCGTTTATTTCAGACCCCATAAAAACTGATCTTTACACAGTGAAACAAAAACAAAAAAATAGAGTTAATCAAATTGTTTTGATCAAATAGGAAAGTCTTCAAGTTAAAATAGTAAGTAAATAATGCTTTAGATTTGTTTCATAAATAAAATTGGTGCATAATAATAAACACGTTTACGACCCGGTTACTCCTCGTTCCTCCTAATCGATGAGCTCAGGCCAAAGGAATCTGGAGAGCAGGTTTTTAGGTTAGCACACTGAACTTGTAAATAGCGAAGACTGAAATCAAACAAACAACAGTTCCTCGTTGTTGTGTAACTATCTTGTTGCAAATACAGGACACATTGCTGTGCGTACTTATTGAAAACCATTTTGATAAATCTGCCGTTGACCTTTAACTTGTGCTAACGTTTTGTTTCCTGTCCCACAGATCATCCACGAACCGCCACCACCACCTGTGGAGGAGAGCTCGGTATGGACAGTCAAATCCAAGTCTGTTTCTTACGACCTAACAAAAGAGAGAGAGAGACCGCTCGTGATTTACGGGTTCGCAAGCTGCCAGTGTTTAAGTTGAATTAAATTGCCGTTTAATTGCCGACTTTGTCAGCTTAAACCTCAATGGCCAGGCCGCATCATTCATCCACGTTCTGGCTCACAACTCCTGCATCTCGTTTTGATAATTCATTAAATGTTATGTGAGTTACTTAGCGCCCTGATGGGAGAAGAGAAAAATTGCCTTGCGCTTTATTTGACAGTTTCTGTCTTTTAAATCACAGCTCCTGGGACTTTAGGCAAATAACATGCAAGTTTTGCAATTCATCTCGTTGCTTGATGAAAGTTTGCTGGAACCTTGCTCTATTCCGCCTGACCAAATTACATTCCTTTAGCCATGTTACAGCTGATTTGGTGGAGTGCTTAGGGTCATTGTGCATTTGGACAAAGCATTTTTGCCAAGAAGTTCAGTTTAAATGATGTGACAAGGAGAGACGTTTCTCTTTGCCACTCCGCACAACATGACAGACAAGAAAACATGATGATAAAATAAGGCAACCAAGTCTCTGTTAAGAGCTAAATATATGCAGCTTCTCAGCAGTAAGAGCAATAGCTTAAGGGCGTAAGAGCTGGAACAAGCTGAGCTGAACACCATGGACAACGACGATGTTGAGACAGAGGGCAGAAAACTGCTATTAAACATTGAACTACTATAAGGCTTTTCATACGTCTTTGTTCAGGTGCCAAGAAATGTGGAAGGAGGCGCCGAATGACAATTAGCTTTTTCATTTGTCTGAATAAAGGGTTCCTTTTAAGACGACATAGAGAAATAATGTTGTACTAATCGAGGTTTATCATGTTGCTCTCTTATAGGATGATGAGGACTTTGACACCCCAAAGAAAAAATGGCCAACCGTCGATGCCTCCTACTATGGAGGAAGAGGAGTGGGGGGGATCAAAAGGATGGAGGTAAAATACAAGCAAATCCGACGCTGTTCGAAAGCTCTGAGTGAGAACCTCAGAGAAAGGGGGGCGTCAAACATAAAAGACGTTGGGTGACGGTGCAATAAATCATTGATTAAAGCTTCCCATCAGGTCCGCTGGGGAGAGAAAGGCTCCACGGAGGAAGGAGCGAAGCTGGAGAAAGCCAAAAATGCCAAAGTGAAGATGCCGGAGCAGGAGTACGAGCTGCCGGCCACTCGGGTTCTCAACAACGGGATGCAGAAACCTCCGCCACCACACAAGTGGTACTCGCCCATTAAGGTGACACAGCAGCAGTTTGCAGCAAATTCAGCAATGAACTGTTGATGACTAAAAATCTGAGTTACTCAGGGTTTCCAAACCTCGCTTGTCTGAAGTGAGATTAAAGCTTTTCCTCCATTTCTCCTACTCTGGCAGATAGCTCTCACTCAAAACAACCCTGAACAGCTACAGAGCTCAAGTGCTCAGATGTATGACCTGTGAAGTAGCCTACTTGCTAAACAAATCTCGCATTTGTTTCAGCAGCCATCTAATTCACTATAACATCCAGAACTGTTTCTGCAGGGACAAAGCTGTGAGCATGTGTCAAGCATAACCTGCAACATCTGCTGAAAATCATTTCATGCTAGGATGAAGATAATCAGGTATTAGCGTACTGTCGCGTTGAAAAAGCTTCGAGATGCATGAAGGCAATAATGTCTGGTGACTGCCGGGATGCAGTGCCTTCCTTGAAGGCCAGCTCGGGGTTAATGGAGTGCAGCGTTTCCAGTCAGCGGGGGGATTGCTAATAGAAGCCAGAGTGCTGTTGGACTGACCTCCAGGGGAGGAGGACTGCAAAGCCAGCAGTTTGGGAGGGAAAGCAGCTGTGTTTTCTGCACACATCCCTGAAATATTTACCGTTTTTAAAAACCTATGAGAAGACTCTTTGCACCAAATCTGTTTAAAAACATGTAAGAATTGGCTTTAAATTTCTACCACAAAAGAAGACTTCATCTGTTGTGTGTTACATTACAGTTTCCTGTTAAAGTAACGTCTGATCTCTGATTCTCTGCAGAGCAAACTCGACGCCCTGTGGGTTCTGCTGAAAAAAGGCTACGACCGCGTGTCTGTAATGAGACCTCATCCAGGAGACAAGGTAAAAAACCTCAATGTGGATCACACGTCTTGGTTCTTGGGCCGACCCGACTCAGGCCTTTAACTAAAGACGATGGGAATTAGGAACGAGTCTGTTGCATCCGAAAAGATACATCTCAAAAGACAGACCAGCTGTCTGCAGTGAAGCGTGAGCTAAAAAGCCTCCTGGGAAAATGCTTGGTGAGTTAAGATTCTGAGCACAACATTTGGCCAGAGAGTTCTGCAATGCAAGGCTGTCTGGTAAAGTCATTACAAAGAGGCCAGAGTAATTGCTGCAAAGCCAGCTGCAGTGGGACGGTAACAATGCGGTGACGACAAAAGTTGGCAGCTGAGATGTGAAAAAGAAAAAAAAAAAAGAAAAGAGGGAGCTTGAGGGAATTTTGTTTGCAATAGTCCTTTACCGCAAGAGTTTAGGTAGTGCTTCACATTGGATACGTCAGACGGCGAACTCTGAAGAACATCAAGGCATCTTCAGATCCTTTCCTCTCATTTCCCAGCTGCACGTTTTAACAGCAACCTGACCTAATCCTCACGTAAATTATCTTGACCTTTTTGCTTAATCTCCAAAGTGTGATATTAAACGACGACTCATGGTCACTCACCTTTGTATCGTCTGGGCCTGATTTGGTCCTATTGTTGTTATTGACAAATGAGTGGATGGTTCAATTCACCAAAGAACAAACAGCTGACTTTACTTTACATCCATGTGAGCACCACTTAGACATGATGTCACGTTAAATGGGTGAAACATTATGAGCTGTGTTTCAAAGTGAAGTTTTACCTACACTATGCCAAGTGGATAGGGAGGAAATGTATATCAGGTCCTGCAACAATGGCAGCAAATCGTTTCCATCTGATGTGACTAAGCAGCAAAACAATATACGATGCACAGGTGATGTCTGACTGTTTGATAGGAGCAGAGCGTTTTTACTGGACTCATTTTAAAGGTTTAGCTGGTTTTACATACCGTTTTATTGCGTGCTTGAATTTCTCAACAGTATGGCAAACTTTAGCAAAATAATAAAACGAGGTCTCCTTCAAAATTATTCATGCTGCATTTACGCATGTTGTCGCGTTACAAGTTATGGCCACAAATTAATTATCTGCTCTGAATTTTGCGTGATCCATCAGAGAATTTAAAATTAGAAGGTGGAAATCAAAAGTTAAGCTTTTGCAATTTTTACAAATATTATGTTTAGTTTAATCAAGTCACTACATAAGTCAGTTAATTAATAGACAGAAGCTGCAGTTCCATTAGCCATAAAATTGTACAAATTGAAATTATAAAAAAAAATCAAAACATTTTTTGATCATTTTGTGACCGATGGTGAGCGACAACAGCGCAGCGAGATTATGTCTGTATTTCATTTAACTGTTTACATCTGTTGCTGCCATAATTTTTTACAAATTATGATGTGGACAGGTTTATTCACGTGCAATTTTAATTTTATGTCATTTTTTTATTGAAATGGAGTCACCAGAAAGGTGAAATTGTGTATTTTATTTTATTTTTTTTTTACATTTGCGAAATATAGAAACATTTGTAATGAAAACGCAGCCACATAACAACTTGAGACTTACATGTGGGTTGTAAATCCAGCAGATCTTTCCATTTCTAAGGGAAAATGGACTCCAAGCCAGCGCTATGTTATTCTGCATCTGTTTTCTTTCTCGTGTTTTCTTCTAAGTTATCATGTTGTCCTGTTACAGTTCTGTTTTATTAGTTTTGTCATTTCATTGCACTTGAACCCAAATTGAACAATTTCCTAATACTCTGGGAGCAGTGTGTGTAGGATCACAACACCCAGAAAAACAGACTGCTGGTCGTTTAAAAGTTGTGAGCTTCACGTGTTTTTCTTTTCTTTTTTTTTTCTAAATTTTCAGAGATTTTCCACCGATCTAAATCCAGAGTTTAGTTGCCCAAAGACGGCAGGCAAACATTACAATAAATGCTGCCATTTTTACAACTCATTAAACCTGTAACTATAAAACATGCAGTGAACTTATGCATCACCTACCACCACTCTCTCCAAAACTATTTAGAGCTTATTGGGTTCCCATGATGTAAAAGCAACTACCTGTAGCAGCTGAAAGGTGGCAGACTTCCAGGTAATCTGGCCCTGCAGATACCTGGCTGCAATGCCACTACATATAGAACAAAAGCTCATTTTATTTTCATTTTTGACAGGTTTTGGTTAATCCTACTTGAATGTACAGCTTCACATCAGTCAATGTCCATCATGCTTTTTGAAATCAAAGTTTAAAGGACAACGTTCTTCTCTACAGTTTACCAACAACTCTGTAATTATATGAAACCAGGAAGACTTCCTTCCTATAAAATCTTTAAAGAAGAACAGTTGGACCTAATTTCCTGAAGAAGTTAAGAGCTTGGTTCTTATTGCAGTTAGAAACCTCATGTCAAGGCCCAGACTTTATGACTTAATCAAAAATGAGTTCAGTGGTTGGAGGGTGGAAACCTGTTTCTTTTCCTGCTGACGGCCAAAGGAGAACTGAAGTCGGCGCCCTGCATGTATTCATTTCCAAGATTTTTGTATAATTTTAGTGGGGTTCATATGAGTTGTTATGTTGTCCTGTTGTCATGTTAATGTGACCCTTTTAAAGCATTAATGCAACTTATAACATTCATTAAACATCGAGTAATCAAAAAATCTAGTTAGAATCATCACAACGAAACATTTAAAACAAAATCAAAAAAGGCCATTTTATTCATACAATCAAATTTGCAAACGACTAAAAAAAATTGTTTATGACAACAATGAACAAGCTGGTAGTAAGTAAGATTGAACTTTTTTCTTTAACTTATTGCCTCAAGTTACTGAATAGTTGAAAGCAATTTAACTGACTTGATTAATGTGTCCTGGTAAAAATGACAACTATTTTTGACCAAATGCCAATGAGACGGCATGAAGAGAAACTACCAGACCTGATGGATGTTCTGAATTTCTGTAGGGGCCATGGGATGACAACCTTATTGGTTTTTGTCTTAAATTTAATAAAAGTACAAGTCATCCAGGTCTTCACGTGGGGTTTATATTTGTACGGACTCGGTGTAGCAGTGGAAGTAAAACTGTGCATCCTGATGAAATTGTCTAAAACAAGCATGTGGAGAACAGAACTGGACCCTGAGGGACACCATAATCAACGTCACAAAGGGACACGCATGTGTTAAAAATGACTTCATTAGGATTTAAAAATTTGGTTGGAAAGAAAACGGACACAAATAAAGCTGTTATATTTAGTCTCCATCAGGATTAAAATAAAATGTTAAGCTTATGCTCCTGTGCTTGCATGACCTGACATGTTTTACCCCAGATGTTTTTTTTTTATTTACCTAATTTTAAAGTCAAAACTAGCTGCAGAATCCACCTTCAGCTAAGTAGTTGCATGGTTTCTCATGTCACAATTACCCATGGGTAAAATGTTTTCTAATTGCAAAAAAAAAAAAATTCTGTATCCTGTTTATAGTAATGGTACAGTCCTTATATGAGTATGAGTCACGACATTATTTAAAGTACTCCTAAAACTTATAATAGAAAACAGCAAATGACTAATTTGTAAAAAGTCTTTGGGGGAAGAAGGCTATTTCCTCCTAACCGTAATAAAACCTTAAATGTTAACATTCATTTGATTAAAGCAAATGACCAACATTACCAACACTGATCATAAAACATGAAAGTCTGTAAAAGTGACAGTTGTGGAACAATTTTTTCTCGTGTTTTCGTTTAATTTAAATCAAGATTAGTTTGTCCTGGAGGCTGACAACCAATTAAAATGGGACCAAGATAAAAGCAAATCTTAAAACAATATCTAACTTCTATGAACAATGTTTTTTAAACTTTTAAATGGTCATCACATTTACAATAAAACAAAAAAACCTAAGGATGATTCACATGGAAAATATAAACTGGAGGCTTTGTGCCAACCGTGATCTTCAAATGCAAAAGATCAGCAAGAACAATTCAAGTATTTCTGAGTAAATTGTCAATCAAAAGTAAAGCAGTGAGTGTAAAAAGAACAACTTTGCAGTGGTTAAAATGAACACTGTTTTAACGACTGTCTTGGTTTAGGGTTTTTTAATGAAAGTGCATTTATTTCTTCTAACAGAATTCTTTCTGTCTTATATTTTTAGGGAAGATGTATGAACTTCACCCGCATAAGGTCACAGCCTCCTCGCTACCCCGACTTTAACTGCCACCCCTCACCCATCTGCAGCCCCCCCAGCAGAAGTCCTCCTCCACCACAGGGCTCCCTGCCGCCGACTCCTGGCAGCCCTCAGTCATTTTCCTTTTCCCCGCTTCCATCGCCGCCTTCAACTCCTCCTCCTGTCTCCCCCTCTCCCTCGCCACCCCTCATGCCCCACCCTCACACGCCGCCTCCCAAACGAGCTCTTCCTCCAACCACCATGTACATACCCGCTCCGCCAGCGTCCCCACCCACCCCTCCGGCCGGCCCGCTGCCTCCTCCTCCACCAGGACCTCCGCCCGGGCGAGCCCCGCCACCCGCCCGCCCGCCGCCTCGTCCCGGCCTGTAGGGCCGTGGCGTCACACAGCAGAGACGCAAAACTGAAGGACAGCAGCGATCAGTTTGCAGAATGTTTCCTGTGCTTTTGAAGCAAGGACACGAGAGTCTGCTGGCCAGGAACACTTCTATCCAGCTAGTTGTCTACACTGACTTTTGTACGCATCTAGCAGAACAGTGCAATTACTCGGATGCTTGAATTACACTCCACAGTCCATACAAATGAGATCATGCAGACTGGCTCCAGAACATTTGTGCAGATGATGCTCAGAGGAGCAACAGAACACAACACCTCATAAGTTTGGACGAATCCTCAGGAGCCTCGTGGACTAAAATGTCTGCAATGTCAGCCCTCGATAAGAAGCTAACTTGTACTGGTCATGACATTAAAACGCATGCTTGTCAGTTGTAATATTTCTGATTAGAGAAGAAACTCAGGCTTCAAATGTTTTTCTTTTGTTTTTTTGGTTTCCAGCAGATTTACAGGAATCTGAAACTCCTTGACATTTGTTTTAGGTTTCAGCCACTGCATGCAAAGAAAGCTCCTGTGAGCGTTGTGGTTTTACTTTTTTAAAATAATATTTTCATTACATTTTTTTTAAAATAATGTATATCTAAAAAATTTTCTTTTTTTAACAGAAAAACTAAACAAAGAAGAAACAGACGATGGTTTGCAAATCATTTTACCTTTTGTACCCAGTTGAAAGCGGCACAAGGACAAACGCATAATGCAAAACTACATTCCTGTACTTTTACCACTAGGTTTCACTATTAACGTTTGGAAGGTTAAGACAACAGCTGTTGTAATAAAAAAAGTGGAATATTTGCTTGATATAGAAATGCTTCAGCAGATCTTTTTTCTATCCAAAGTATGCCACATATTGAGTTTTGTCTTATTCCTTAATACCTTAAATCCATCCATCTATTGTCTCTGTATCCACTTACTGCTTATTGCAGGGTCACTCAGCGTCTAGTATTCTTATATGCCCTTTATTTTGCAATATTTTACGATAAGACCAGAATGTGTGCAATCCTGCCTCTTCCATTTCCTTTCTTTTGCCAGCAACAACAACATAGAGCCGACATCGTCTTGAGGATCTCACAGTCGAGAGGGACTGAGTGCAGAGAAGCAGAGAAGACCTCAGTTACTCCCCGTGAAAGCATATGCAGGGCATGGCTAACACATTCCAGATGTCAATATGTTGCATTAATGTCGCATGCTGGAATGAAGCGACCTACCCTGGAAAATATTAGACTCCATTTAATCCCCAGGAAATGTGGACAAACTGCAGAAAAAAAAGAAAGGAACTTGTCTTTTTGGGTTTGAAGCTGGGCTTTTTTCTATACCTCCTCTATGCAACACTGCATATATGTAGTAGTAATTCATACAAAAGAGACAGTTATTGAGAGCATATGCTGTGCAGTACTTACATACAATGTGATGTAGGCTGACATTCCGTGTTAAAATCAGTTGTAATATTCAAATTTCCATTAGCCGGAGATGCAATTATCAAAATGAACTGAAATAAGCTCCAAGTTTATTTCAGCTGAGAGCTTATTTAAGATTCAATATGTATCACATAGACGAGATGCACATCTCGTCTATGTACATGTATATTGTGTATCAAGATGCACGATGTAGCCTACATATCGTGTATCGTCAATATGAGCTTCATGTTTGGAATTGCGTTGCTGTCAAAGGTCTGCTTTTCACTGCTGAGCTTGACTGAGATGCAGCTGGAGCCTGAATAAGTGAAGGTGAGGACGACACAGCACCACCAGCATTCATTCACCCGGTCAATTGCCGCGCCGCTTTATCCTGTCTGGTGAAGGAGGGCCTGCACGCCGAGCTGCTGCTTCACACAATGTTTTTCCATGAAAAGCTACTGTTTGCTGGAGACTCGGGACTATTTCTGCTTAGACTTGAGGCCCGGAAACGCAGCGCCTCTCTGGTCTGTGCAGAAGAGAGGAGAGCCGCACCGTGGTTCAGGTCTGACCCTGTGGTGCTGCACGTAGGCCTACAATATACTGGCTCGTCCACATGATACTGCCGGTCCCCTCGGCTGAGTCCAGATCCCTCTGGCCCTTCGTCTCCACCGACACAGCTGCTTGGACCTTTGCAAGGCCGCTGGGGACAAAACTGCAGACGCTTGGTGGCTCCAATCTGTGATTGGAGTTCATGTACTTGAATTCTATCTATATTGTCCAAATGGCTAAGAAAGGGGTGAATGTCAGCTTTTAACACTATTAAAATCTCTTAACTGTATTGTGAAAGTTTTTAATTGTAATAAATTAGATCAGAAACATCTTATAGCCTCAAGCAAGATATTCTTGTAAAATCAAGCCAGGTGTGACGACATGAAAGGTAAAAGGTCAGTTCCTCCATCTACATTCATGTGTACCTCCATCCCAGCCCTCCTTTTCATTTAATTATTTTTTTAAAGTCACTTTCTCTTCAGCTATGTTTTATTTTACTTGGCAGAAGCAGCTAAACATTTGGATTTCAGGAACCTGCAGAAAACTTATGGAAGTGGTTTGTTAGACCAGTGCAGGCTGATTTCTCAAAGCTCCTCATTGATTTATTTTGAGCCTAGTCAAAACATTTGATTTGCATTCATTTCATTCCACACTTTTTGCAGAACTGTTGCTTCAGGAAAAAAAATAATAATAAAGAAGCTTGCCACACAAACAAACCTCCAATTAATAGTTTTCAAATCTTGACCATGAAACATTTTAGAAACTTGGCAAGTTATTATTCTCCCAAAAGATCATGAAGGTGTACATATGGGACTACCTACATTTTTATTGTAGCAGAAACAAGGACATGAGTAGTTTTTCCAGTTTGTAAAGGTTGCTGAGCCCATGTGCACTTAGAACCACCAGAGGAAGTGAGGACAAATTCCAATGGCTTTGTAATCACGAAAGTTAACTAAAGTAGTATGAAGTCAAGTGAAACGAGCAGAATACGGCATTTATTCATTCTACGAGGGCAGATGAGCACAAAAACCAATAAGATGGAACACAATTGACTTATACCAGTTATATTTCCAAAAATAATCCTCAGCATATCCTTCAGCTTTGCCATGGATACTGGCGTCCATCATGGCTCAGGTCATTCAGTTTAACAATATGTCCACATTTACTCTGAGACATAAATGTCTCAGAATTTGTCTAACAAAACTGGTTCATCCACCATTGTGTTTGTAAACGCCAATTTGTGAGCTTGCACCTCCTGCTTGTCAGTTTACAATAAAATAAAATTGCTCCTCTGGATTGCATCTTTAAACCAAATAAATTCAGACACTTTATTGCATCAGCTCTAATAGCGTCCCACTGGTCATTTCATCTTGCAAAGAGGGGAAAAATAAGGGTTATAAAATTACCTGCAACCATATAATCCAGTTTTCGATCCCCCTTTTTTTTCCTGGCTCAGGACCCGTTAAGGATTGATTGTAAAGGTGATAAATATCTTCAAACCTGAAGTTTGCATTTCTACTTCATTGCTTGTTGGAACTGTGCGAGTGTCGTTATTTCCCAGGCATTTGAAGGAAAAAAAAACATAAAATAAAAAATACCAAGGCTCACGGACACGTAAAGCATGTATGACTTTCTGCATCGGTAAACACAACTTGATGATTGTTCTACGTAAACTGCCTTCATTACAGGCCTAAACACGTCTTCATACATTAAACTCCAGCTTTGCTACAAACCACAGCGGGTGAAGACAGAATATACATGTTTTGGTTTGTGATCATCAAAGCCGTCACACACGTTTTTGGTTTGATATTTGAATCAGTAACATTCTCTTTATAAAATAAAGTACCCTGCATAACAACAATAAAACAAAATCACTTAAAAAGAATAGAAAACAAATGAGGAAAAAAAAAAAAAAAAAAAGCAACAAATGGTCCCAGTAAGCAATGGCAACTCTCACGGTGGCAGGAGAGCTTCAACTTCAGATAAGCCAAATTTTCATCACTTGATTGCAAATAAAATCAAAAGTCAGTGACAAGATCTCAGTAAGGCAACAGACAGGAAAATATTATTGTATCCATACTATTACATAATGAGGATCTGTAACATACAGAAGGAGGGGAAAAAAAAGCATTTCTCTACAGTCCGACTCACGGTGCTACTCCCACATCGTCAGAAGAAGAAGAAGAAGAAGAAAAGTCGGAGATGGGAAACGGATACAAAACAGAGCTGCAATTACGAAGTGATGACCTCGGAATGATTCCAGTCTATGGTTTCCTTCAGCCATGGAATAAAGCGCTTTAAATCATTAGCTGCCAAGGAAAGTTATCCCAACTAACCTACAAATCATTGCACTATAAAGAGAAAATGAGCCAGGAAGCTCTTTAAAGTAACTACTCTGAGTCAACAGCTTGAAAGATCAGCTCCCACAGAGACCAATTGACAACAAAACTTGCTCACAACTTTCTAAACACAACCGTAACCATATGCTCACTGATATCTAAAATAAAACGAAAATGCTAGGCCAGATAAATCTCCACTGACAGTAATTTGACGAGGACGCCCAAAGAATTTAAGGAATTAAAAATAAAATGAGACAATGGTATTCACAAGACTCGCCTAAAATGTCGCATTAAAAAAAAAAAAAAAGAATGGCAACCGGGGAGACCCAAACGGGATGTAGGTTTCTCTTCTCTTCTCTGTACAGATGCTCCTTTGATGTCAGTGTTAGAACGTGTGTCTGCCAGGTTTCTGTCGTCAGGTGATGGAGGGTGGCCGTTACTCTACAGTCACCGACTTGGCCAGGTTTCTTGGACAGTCCACCTGAATTCAAGCAGGAAAATTGAACAGATTAATATTTAATAACGTAGTAGCAAGCACAACGGGACTTCACATTACCTTTAGCTGCTGGATTTAATAAGGATAATAGGCTAAGAAGATGTTCACTGATGACTAAATGCTGCTGGTAAACTACAAAAGACAATTTAGCTAAATCTGAGGAAGGGGGGGAAGAAAAAAAGAACTTTATTGGGATTTTATTGGAGAGCTAGTTCAGAACTGTGAAGTTGAAGTAAAATGGTACAATGGCTTTTAAGTTGTTTTCTTTTTTCTCTTTACAAATAAAATCTGTAACAGCTGCATTCAGCCCTTCTGAGTCAGAAGGAAACCACCTTTCGTTGCAGTTCCAGACACGAGTCTTTTAGGGTTCGTCTCCATCAGCTTTGCACTTTTAGGAACTTAACATTTTGCCCCTTCTTCAAAAACGTCTGGACTTCGACTGGGCCACCCTTTGATATAAAGGATTGCTGCACATTTGGCTGAATGTTTAGGCGCTCGGAACCAATGCCCTGCATTGGTACCGGAACAGTGACATATTACTATTATTATTATTATTATCTAAATTATTCAGGGCAGTGGTTCCTGAGGACTGA